TCCCTATATAATGCCTATATAATTCTGAATTATATTGAATTATATAGGCATTATATAGGGACTATACTCCTTTATTCCCTACTTACCATGAAGAGCTTGCTTGTGGTTGTCGTTGGCTAGGGATTGAAATCGGAGCTGTGGAGGAGCTTACTATGGGACCTTGCTCTTCCTCCCCTAAAAGGCATGCTTGACACACGGTTTAGGGTTTAGGGTTTAGGGTTTAGGGTAGCATCCTTGCGCAAACTGGCGCAAACCTCATCAAGAGACCCACGAGCCCTAAACCCCACACCCTTGAAGCCTAAACCCCTAAATCCTAAACAGCCTGTAAGTTTAAAACCTAAATCACATAGGTCATATACCCTAAAGCCTCAAAGTTTGACCACGTGAGCCAGAGTCTAAACACCTAGTATCCCCCCTAATAACCCCTATAATCGTCCCCTACATTATCCCCTACATTATCCCCTACATATACCTTTTTAAGGAGTTTACTCCCTAAACCCGCAACCCTAACCCCGAACCTTAACCCCTAACCGTAAACCCTAAATCACATGGCCAGGCCCTGCCGCAGCGTCCCCTGCGAGCTATGCACAACTGCTACGGCAGGCACGAGCAGCTGACATCTCAAACTGACTGGTTCTTTGCAAGGAAGAAGTGAATATATGGTACCATACACAGGGTTTAGGATTCAGGGGTTAGGGTTTAGAGTTAGTAGGGTTCAGGGTTTAGGGTTAGTAGGGAACACGGGAATACATTATACAGAGCTTACATAGGGATTAGATGCCTTATTCCCTACTAAGAACCCGTAAGCAAAGAGGAGTTGGGAGTTCACTTTGTGGCATTCTGGGGTACCAAGCGACTCGGGAACCCAACGATGAAAGGTCAGATAGGAGGTATGGTGGGATTGCTGGGTGAAGTGGATACAGTTTATGTACTGATTTCATGGCCCTTCAACGTAGGGTTGTCTGGGGGCCTGCATTGGTGGGATCGGGTCTTCAGGGGAGTGTGAGGGTTTGGTGTGTTTTGGGTGGCTTACGTAGAAGCTGTCTGTTCATGGACTGATAGGTTTTCATAGCTTGTGGGTCCGACAATTAGAAGGCAGACCTTGAGACTTTTTGGGCCGAGGGAACTCAGCAATTGGTTGGGTTGGCGGCCACGCAATAATAGTGCCCACAAGGGATAATGGTAATCATACTAGGTCTGCTACATGTTTCTATAGTACCGCTATTCGTGAGTGGGGGCCTAACCCAGGCAATTGGGTGAGTGACGCACTCGAATGCAAGGAAGGGCTTCAGAGATCAAAAGGTTTAGGGTTTAGTGACTTAGGGTCCCTTGTTGAAGGCAGCTGGAACAAAGATCCTGCTTTTTCTAGGGATATGGAAGGGGAACTCAGGTTGTATTGGCTAAGCCCTAAACCCAAAGCTCTGAGCCCCCCAAACGCCAAGGCAGAAGCCGGAAATCCTAAACTCCAAACCATAAACCCTAAGCCGTAAACCCTAAGCCCTAAACCCTAAGTCCTAAACCCTTAACCCTAAGCCCCAAGCCCTAAACCCTAAGCCCTAAACCTGAAAACCTATAGTCCCCCTTAAGTAGATAGAATATGGGGTATATGGGGATCTTATTACACTATACCCAAGGCCATATTCTATGTATTCAAGGGGGACTATAAACTCTCAAGCCATGGTCCGCTGGAGCGGGCAAGCTGGAGGGAACCCGCGCATCTTCACACAACGCTGATCACCTTCCCCTACCCCTACCCTTTCCCTATATGAGCTATAGTCCAAGCTCCTTACCGGGGCCTATGTAAGGGAGTATGTAGGGGACTACTATAGAGGTTCGGTTATTCAGGAGGATACTAGTATGCCAGACTCTGGTTCATATGTTTTAGCATAGGGAGTTTTGATATCAGGGGAGGGGGTTACAATCACTCAGCTTGAAATACCTACGCCCTTCTACACAAACTTGAGCTCTTTTGCCGTAAACGCCCTGAAGCCTGGGACCTGAATCCGAAGCCCCAGGCCGCACAGTTGACATAAATGCTCTGAATCTCAAGCCCCTAAACCTTATAGTCCCCCCTTAAGTAGATAGAATATTGCTTTGGGTATATTATAACAAGGTCTCCATATACCCCATATTCTATCTACTTAAGGGGGACTATAAATCCTAAACCCTACACCTTACCCCAAACTCTGTGAATCCCCAAAGGTGGACCAGCTGCAAGGCGGGACCGTGCAGTGTTAGGAGTGAGAGCTTTTTGGTCCAGGATTCAGAAAATAGGGTTTAGGGTTTAGGGTTTAGGGGGTCCAGGATTCAGAGGTCAGGGCTTTGCTATTTTGAGTTTAGGGTTGTTTCGAAAGGTTTGGGCTTTGGGATGTAGCAGTTAGGGCGTAGGATTGAGGGTACAAGGCTCGAAACTTTCTTCGTCGCCTTCATAGCCTGGACTGGGAACCCAAGCCCTGAACCCTAAAGCCTAAACTGGCCCTGCACCCTGGAACACCTTTCCAAAAACTACTCCTAATGTAGGGCATTGAGTCCAGGCATCTCAGGGCTTAGGGTCTGGGCAGGCTTTAAGGCTCAGAGGGTTCAGTATCTAGGGTTTGGGATTTTGGATTTGGGGTCTGGGGTTTTCGGGCGCCTGTGTGTATGGTTCTACAACAATGCCGATGCCTATTGCTTGCGTATGGACTTTTCTAAGAGGTCCAAGAGCGTGGACAACGTGGATGCCCAGAGCAGGACTTCATTCCAGCAGGCCATGAAGGAGTGCCAGACCCAGGTGCTCCATGCAGAACCTGGTGCCACTCACGTGTGGCAGGCCGTGGACAGGCACATTGGTCGCAGCATCAAGCGCATGCTTGCTGATGCGCAAGTTGAGGCTTGCAAGACAAGGCCAACTGGAAGGGCTTTCCTCAGCTGTCCGCCAGTGACCGAAGAATCCTTTCCTCGCACTGGGTTGGAGTCTGAATATTTCTGAAATAAGCTTCTATAATCCTCAATAAAAACCACCGCCCCACAATGACCGTATGATGCTAACCCTAACCCTGACCCCTGATTAACAACCCCCTCCTCCTAATAGGACTATAACTATAACAGGGATCCTAATATTAAGGCCCTTCAAAGGAGGGGTCTATCAATCATGGATCTCCATTAAACCCTGAACCCTAAACCCTAAACCCTAAATAGTAGTTTCCATTTTCTTTTCCATTATCCCTATGTATCCCCAATATAGCCCTAATATACTAATCATGGGTCTACATTACACCCTAAACCCTTGACTTTGACGGCCTGGAGGGCAGCCCCCTTGTTGAGAAACTCCCATGGGTGCGATTCAGAAGGATGCCTTTCAGGCATGGACAGCCTTAAGCCCCTTGGAGTCAGGGTTTAGGGTTTGGGGGTTTGGGATGTAGGATTTAGGCTTTAGGGCTTGGGAGGTAGGATCTAGCGCTTGTTTAGGGCTTAGGATTTAGGATGTAGTATCTAGGATCTAGGACTTAAGGTTTAGGATGTAGGATTTAGGGTTTAGGGCTGCATTCTACAAGCAGCAACACGAGCAAGGCCCAATCCGACCCACGGTGGCCGAGACTCTCTGCGCCACCTCTAGACAGCCCTGGACACTTGAAGACATCTCGTTCCCCTTAAGTAGATAGAATATGGGATACATGGGGGTCTTACTGTAACATATCCAAAGCCATATTCCATCTACTTAAGGGAGACTCTACTCATTGGTTCTTCTTGAGGGCTGGAACTTCAGCTAAACTCTCCGGCAGCAGCGAAATATTCAGCCCCGAGCCCTCGAACCTTTCAACCCGGTGACCACAATCCCTCTAGGATTTAGGGTTTAGGGTTTTGGGGTTTAGGTTTTAGGGTTTAGGATTAAGGGTTTAGGGTTTTGGGGTTTAGGGTTTAGGGTTTAAGGTTTATGTTGTGTCTTCAGTGGCGGAGTATGGGAGGTGTACCTGTGGGGTATGGAGATAGTGGGACTCATCCAGCAAAAGGCACCC